AATGCCTCTGTCTGGGAGGAACATTTCATAGTAGCGTTCCTGCTATCCTTTCAACCCAGGACTTTCACTCTCAGAGATAGTTCCAAAGAACTCCTCAGCCATGCCATTGTTCCTCCATAATAGTGTCACCTGTAGATGCTATCAAAATATTCGTATTTCTGAGGGAGCCCTTCTGGGGTTGTCTCTCTACCTCTATGTCCATCTCGGTGTCTCTGGCAAGCCTACATATTCTTTGGCAATTAAAAAAAAAACACCTCTAGTAATTGACCCTCTGTCTTCCTTCTTAATAAAGGAATTGATGTGTTTGTTTCTATTTATTAAAAATAATACATGGTCTGAGGACCAGCAGGGGCATGGTTGTTAAGGCGCTGGGTTCTCATATGGCCAACCACAGTTTAAGTCCCAGACCTGGCAGCTTGGAAATCATGTTGGGTGCATGTGAGTGAGTGCTCAAAATCTCAGGAGGAGAGTGGAGGAGAAGGGATTGTGGCAGAGCCATCCCCCCAATTGCCCTGGGCCATACTCACAGTGATTTCTCACTTTCCTTCTCTCTGTCGCTCTCTGTCATTCTCTGTCTCTCTCCAGTAAGCCCGTGCACCCTTTGACAAAAGCCTTAAAAAAAATAATAAAACATGGTCATGAAAACTTGGTATCAAAAGTAAAAATATTTCTTAATCTTATCAATAGCTAATTTCTATTACATCGTCAGTTTACGGCAGCTTTACCCATTTAATTATATATACATAGACAAATGTACACACACACACACTTTTTTTCTAAACTGAAACCATACTATATCATTGTGTATCCTACATTTCTAATACAACATGAATACAAAAGTACTTTCTCAGTATTTTCTTATTAAATAGTCTTTAAAATAAAATTACATTTTAAAGATATTTTACTTGAATTTTATACTTGGACACAGTCATTTTATCTAGATATAGAAATGAGATTTTGCCAGTGTGCTTTTTTGTTTGTTTGTTTGTTCGTGTTTTTTTGGAGAGGTTTTCGCTATAGGGCGCGTGCGCTCGCCAGACAGAGAGAGACATAGACAGAAAGCGAGAAATCACCCCCCAGGGGGAATGGTCACGCCGCAATCCCTTCTCCTCCATTCTCCTTTCGGGATCTTGGGCACACATGCACACGCGCCTGGCGTGAGTTTTAAGCCATCGGGTCCAGGACGCAAACCGCGGTCAACTATGTGGGAGTCCAGCGACATAGCCATTACGCTAACTACTGGTTCCCGCCAGTGTGCTTTTCATTGCTTTGTGGCTCTCATCTGGCATCTCATCTCTGAGTCAGGTGGGTTTTTGCACAACCTCATGTGTTCTGTGGACCTGTCAGGTAAGGCCCAGTGTGACCATGCGTTTCACTCACAACCTAACGCTGAATGTCAGTAGAGAGGGAGTGGGTAGGTGATAAGCTGAGACTATTCTTTTTTCTTCTCTGGCTATGTTGTTCTCTCTAGGTTTTAGATATGAGTCAGTCACTAGAGTTTCCCCGTCTGATCACCCATGCCAGAGAGGAGTAAGTCCTCCTGGAGATGGACAGTAGCATCGCGTGAGCTTCTCAGTGTAGGGTGACTTGGTGATCTCTCAAGAATATTTTGGTGGGAAATTGAGGGATGATAAACTAGGCCCAGCTGTCTAGCTGCGAGAGCAACCAGAAGTTTATCCCCTTTCGCTTCATGAATTTTTCCCATTCCCATGTTGTCATATTACTTTTTTCCAAGTTGAAGGACAAAAAGAAATCTACATTCAGGTCATTCAGATCATGTCATAAATATTGTATTCCTTGAGGATTCAAGGTTAAAGAGAGTTTATCATGAATACTCCAGATTCTTTGTTGTATCTGCCTTTGGCTCCTTTTCTAGAAATTCTAAGACAACATCCAAAATACTTTTTCTCTCACCTGGGGCCAGAATATTAGAACTTGGAAGTCATCACCAGCTATCAGACTTTGTTTCTCACCTCCTAATTACAAAATGATGGATTTGCACTAATGTCTTCCAATGTGCCTTCTGGTTTTAAACTGCCAAAATATCTTAAGGATTCAGCTTAATTATTCCCAGAAATACTCTTTGGTTTATTTCTCTGCTTTCTCCTAAAGACCTCATCTTATAGAACCATACGGTCAATGTACCTTTGTATGTCTGTGCTCTTGTTTACTTCTATTGCTTCATTGTCAGGATCTTACCAAAGGTTTTTAGTTATCTTCTTTTTATCTACCAAATTTTGTCTATTTCCTTGCACTTCAGGAAGCAGCTAATAGGAGGCCACACAATGCAGCAGTAAAATGCAATTCTCTGTAAGGCAGACCCACAGAGGAAAAATCTGATTTGAGGGAAACCATCAAAGACCATCATGAACAAGCTGGGTACATGGGTGCCCACAATCCTAGACTAGCTGAAACTGGGGCTAGGTCTGTCTCTCTCTCTCGCTCACGTAAGAAACAAAGAAACATTTAAAAAAAAAATTAATGAGGAACCAGCAGTTAGCGTAATGGCTATGTCTTTGGACTCCCACATAGTCCACCACAGTTCGCGTCCTAGACCCAGTGGCTTAAAACTCATGCCGGGCGCATGTGCGTGCATGCCCAAGATCCCAAGAGGAGAATGGAGTAGAAGGGATTGCGGCGTGACCATCCCCCCTGGGGGGTGATTTCTTGCTTTTTCTCTCTATGTCTCTCTCTGTCTGTCTGGCGAGCACACGTGCCCTATAGCGAAAACTTCTCCAAAAAAAAAAAAGTTAATGAACGCAGTTGAAAAAGTATCTGTGAGGCCGGCAGATGTCATAGTGGTTAAGACACTGGACTCACGTGACTTGACTACGGTTCAAGTCCTGGACCCGATGGGTTGAAACTTATGTGTGCCCAAAATCCCTAGAGGAAAATCGTGTGGCCGTGCCTTGCCCCACCCCTGGGGTAGGTGATTTCTCACTTTATATCTCTCTGGCGAGGGTACTCTCCTTATAGCAAAAAAACGAAACAAAACAAAACAAAACTCTGTAAAAAGAAAGTATCTGTGGTCAAATATGTTTGGAATAGACTGCATAACACTCTTAGAATTTTCTAATGAGTTTTCACTTATTAAAGACTAGCAGGTTTTACAAAAAAGAAGTTTACTTCATTTTAATTTAGAAATTTTCCAACATATATGATTGTGAAGTCATTTTATTTGTGGTAGCCTCCATTAACATCACTCAGTTATTAGTGTCACCTCACGCTGAGCAGAGGGGAAGTACATAGTGCCTACTTGTGCTCACTGACAGTGGGGTTTAGCATGGATGCACAAACTGTCTACACCTCATGTTCCTCAGATATAAAACGCAGTTACATAATAGACCCTACTTCATGGAAGTCATGAAGATTTAAAACAATATAATGTGACTATGGTTCAATAATTTATGAACTCGAGAGTCTGGCTTTCTGGGTTTAAATTTTGCACCTACCTACTATATGACATTGAGACTTCTATATATCAGTTTCTCATCTATAAAATGGGGACAGAAATTGGAGTAGTCTCACAAGGTTGTTGACAAATACAATCTGATTCGTATAAACCATTTGGGATTGTGCTTAGTCCATAAATATTGGTCAGTATTATTATATTCATTGATGATCTTGATACTTCATAATTGTCTTAGCTTATAAAAGCAATTCCTCTTACACCACAAAAACAGCTAAAATCCAGCATATTAAAATAGCATCACACCGCTCCTACATATATTTGGCCTGGCCCTGTTGATGCCAATCTTCTCTTTATCAAGAATCTGTAATCCTTGGGTCCAGCTGGTGGCATGGTGGTTAAAGTAGCTAGATTCCACATGACGGACACTGCTGTTTGAGTGTAGACCCAGTGGCCTGAAAGACATGCTAGGCATATGTGCCTGTGTGCCCAATATCCTGAGAGGAGAATGGAGGGGAAGAGAAGGCATTGCGGTGTGACCATTCCCCTGGAGGTGTTTCCTCACTTTTTCTGTCTCTGTTTTCTCTCTTTAGCAAGCACATGTGCCCCATAGCAAAAACTAAAAGAAAGAAAGAAAACTAAAGACAGACACGCAGAAATAAGAGTCAAAAAAAAAAAAAAATGTCCAACTTAATGGTAGGGACCAGTCCAGAGTTGAATGTTAACTTCCAGAATATAAATGGAAAGATTGGACCACAACGAAAGAGAGATGAATTACATGAGACTGAACTGGTGAAATAGAATTCTATGACTTTTGGCTAAAACATTACTGATTTTCTTCTGTGCTTTGTTTTCCAGATTTAAGGATTTTTGGTCTTCTCTTATGCTGTTGATAGGTTCATCTACCTGCTATTTGAACAGAATCTTAAACTTTTTCCTGGCTTTAAGTCTTAAGCAAATGTCTCTTAACATTTTTTTATTTTGATTTATTAAAGCTAAAACTGCTTTTCTTGAAATTAAAAACATACATTTAAAAAAGTATTTTATGACCAAAATAAGCTATATAGCTTCAGCTAGGTGCTACTTTATACTGTGTTCTTTCTACTCATTGAGTTTTATGCCTAAAGTCAGACATGTGTCTACAGATATGTGTATATCAGCCAAACTTGATATTGAAAGTATTTAGATTAAGATATTTGCGAGTCCATAAAATGTGGGAAAATGAAAAGGCATGGAAGTATAGATACCAAAGACAGTGTGGGAGGAGGGTGGGAAATGGCAGAGGGTGAGAAGTAGGGAATCAAGGGAAAAAGAAAAAAAAGGGAAGAAAAGAAAAGAAAAGAAAAGAAAAGAAAAGAAAAGAAAAGAAAAGAAAAATATATAAAAAACAAGAAATGGAAAATTTTTGTTGACAATATGTATGGTAATATTCTTGATTAAGCCAATATACAATGTATGCTGGGTGGGAAATCACATGCTGTGATGATGAACAGTGAATGAGTGTAAAATAATTAAATTTAAAATTAAAAGAAAAGAATTGATCATCCTTATCTTTTCACACCACAATTTAGCTTTCTCTGTTTGTGAACAGGGACGGAGAGGCCTTGGCTCTGTGTTTGTCTGGGCGTCAGGAAATGGTGGGAGGAGCAAAGACCACTGCTCCTGTGATGGCTACACCAACAGCATCTACACCATCTCCATCAGCAGTACAGCAGAAAGCGGGAAGAAACCTTGGTACCTGGAAGAGTGCTCATCCACGCTGGCCACAACCTACAGCAGCGGAGAGTCCTACGATAAGAAAATAGTACGTGGCAAGTGCATGTCTGTCGCGATCCATTAATTTAATGTTTCCCTTGAAGCCCAAAGGCAGGACCATAAATATTGGGTTTTCGGAGAAGTCATGACATTTTTGCATAGAAAAACCATATTGTAACTTTTCCAACAGCCCAGTATGCAAGTAATCTGTAGAACCGCAAAGTCACATCTGCTGATCATTCTTGACACAAGTAGTCGTACATGGTACTGTTCTGTTACCAACTCGAAAATGTTTGTCTGGGTCATTCTGTTCCAGTATTTAATGCAGCCTTAGACCTAATTAAGCTTCCGCTTTACCGAGGACAGATGATGGGTCCTCATTCACCTTGTGAGTTAGTGGCAGAGAAAAGCCTAGAATTCATGGCTGACCTGCTCAGCCCAGTGAGCCTGTTACTGACTTTTAACCGTAGTGTCAGCGCTTCAGCTTCCAAGTGCAGCTGTTTCAGTGTGAAAAACAAAAGTATACAAGGAAACTCGGAATCCCATTGAGCTGTTCTTAGTTACCTGGCATAAAGCCTGTACAAAAGGTGCTTTTCGAATACTGAAGCTCAAAATTTGCTGGCTGGAGAAGCACAGAAGTCCTGTGGGATCCCGTATTTATCGGCATGCTCTGTTCTTCAGGCAAACAGCCAATTGATTAAGAGTTCCAGTTGCAGGTCCAGTTTGCCTGAGTTTCTTTCACTGTTGAGCTATTTACTAGCTGGGTATCACTGAACAAGTTACTTACTCTTTCTGTCTCAATATCCTTATTTATAGAAAGGAGAAATTTACTTGTATGTTGCTCATGGACATTACAGACATAATGAGGAAGTCAATAAGAAGTGCCAGACACACTGATGCACTGACTTTTGGGGTGCCCTGCACTGTGCTACTCATTGAAAGTTTTGGACACTTTTGTTCTTTATTCTTTTCTTGATGACGGTTTTATAAACTGTGTAAGAGGTTGTCTTTCTGAAGTGGAGCTAAGCTACTGTACCTGACGCTTTCTAGCATTTAGTCAAACTCTGTTTTCAGATCTTATAGGTCCACGCAGGTTTGGGTCTCTGCCGGTGCTGGGTTCGACTTTTGCCCAGTGGTGAGAATACAGAGGCGGAGACACCACCTCTTTCATGCAGCTCTTAACCCACATCTATTCAATTCCTTTTGACTCCTGGCGATTATGATTTTTTGTTGTGTTTTTTAATTTGCTAGAGGGCACATACACTCATCAGAGAGAAAGGGAGCGAGAGAAATGAGAAAGAGAGAGAGAGAAGGAAAATGAGAAAGCACTCTCCCTCCCACCATTGGGAGTGGTCATGCTGCAATCTCTTCTCCTCCATTTCTCCTTTTGGGATTTTGGGCGTCCACACACAAGCACCTGGCATGTTTTCAAGCTGCTGGATCTGGGATTCAAACTGCAAAGTCACCCATGTGAGATCCAGTTGCCTTGCTCACCATGCCACAGGCCACCCCTAATTTACAATTTTTTTTTTTTTAATGAGAGATTTTTGCTATAGGGCTCAATGTATTGGATGGAGAGACAGAGACAGACAGAAAGCAAGAAATCAACCCCCGACCCCCCACAGAGATGGTCATGCTGCAACTCTTTCTCCTGCATTCTTCTGGTATCTTGGGCACATATGCACATGCACCCAATGTGAGTTTGAAGCCACCAGATCTGGTACTTGGGCCACGGTTGACTCTATGGGAATCCAACAATGTAAGCTTTACACCATCAGCTGGTCCCCCATTATATGATCTTTATGTGTGATTTCTTGGCTACTTTTACTATCTTTTTTAGTTACATTTTGTAAATTGATTTAAGTAAAAATTGCCTACCCGTGTACATATCCCATCTTTCAAATTCCTCTGCAATGATGGGTTTTAAATATATACATGCATCCACCTGTCTTGACCTCTATCATTCATCTATAAGTGTAACTTGGAAACACAAAGTTAAAATATAAAGGAGAAAATGGCAAAGGTGAGAAAGTTTTGAAGTTCTGACTTTCTTAATTTGGAAAATGATGCCCACATGAAATTTTGCCTTTGTTACAGAAAATTTTTCATCTATAAGCATCCCTTTTGCTTTTAAGTAGGAAGACTTTGAGTCTGTTAACATATAATCAATACTGAGTGACATCAGTACTTCCTGATGAAAACTCTCTAGAGTAAGAGTTCTCTTCTACTACCATTTTAATCAACCTTTACCCCCCCACACAAACACATTTTATGAGAAAGAAAAGGGAAAGGAAAGAGACAGAGATAAGCTGTTCTTGTTTTGTTTTGTTTTGTTTTGTTTTAGAGAAATATTTTTGCTGTAGGGCGTGTTTGCTTTCCAGAGAGACAGAAAGTGAGAAATCACCCCACATGGGGAATGGCCACGCCACAATCCCTTCTCCATTCTCCTCTCGGAATTTTTGGGCTTGCACCTGGCGTGAGTTTTAAGCCACCGGGTCCAGGACTTGAACCATGGTCGAGTCTATCAGAGTCCAGTGACGTAACCATTATGCCATCTGCTGGTCCCAGAGGCATTTTGACAGGGTCTTACTGCGTTGCAATCCTCCTGCCCAAACCTCTCAATTAACTAGGACTATAGGCATTTGGAACCATGCCTGGCATGATCAGGTTGTCCCAGGAGCCAAACCCAGGCCTCCCATGCAGCTTCCAGCCTCCCAAGTAGTAGCATGATTTGTGCACCACTGCAAGTAGGCCTTCTTGTACTTTTTGAGTCTGAAGTGATCTTAAGGAAAACTCACCATTGCTTATGCCTACCTAGTCAGTTCTATTATCCTCTGGGAGTTATCACTGTAGGGACAGTATTAGTGAGTTCAATAAATGCCTTCTCTAAGAAAAACATATAGTCTAGTAGGAAAATATTAAAGAAGAAAGGGTTGCCTGGGTCCCCAAGAGGGGAACACAATGTGAACTGACGGACCTCAAAAGCACTAGTGTGGGCCAGCCAGTGGCATGGTGATTAAGACTGCTAGATCCCACACGGCTGGATATACAGTTAGAGTCCCCTACCTAGTGGCTTGAAAAAATATGTTGGGTACATGTGCGTGCATGCCTAAAATCTCAAAAGGAGAAATGGAGGAGAAAGGATTGCAGCATGACCCATAGGGAATGTTTTTTCACTTTCCATCTCTTCATCTCTGTCCAGAGGGTCCATGCACCCTATAGTAAAATTAAAAACGCAACAACACAAAGCAAACAGTCCTGTGAGGTTTACTCCCTAGACTTTGCCTCTTGGACCCTTTTTCCCTATTTGCTTTGACTGTGTGGTGGCTACTGTGACCCCTATGACAAGAGAATCATTTAGGATTCTCTTCCAGACAGACAAGTTGACCCATTCTGTGGTCAGGGAGAGTGCTTACGAGGAAAAATGGACATAATGTTTTAATGCTAGTATCCTCTATATATCCTATATACCAAGGATCTTCAGGAATTTCATTGGAGTCAGCAGGTGGCATAGTGATTAAGGCATTGGACTTAGTGAGCATGGCAGACCACAGTTCAAGTCCTGTACCCAGAGGCTCAAAACTCATGCCAGGCATTTGTATGTACAGGCCCAAAAGCCTGAGAGGAGAATGGAGGAGAAGGGATTGCAGTGTAGAGGGAATGATTTCTCACTTTTTCTCTCTATGTCTCTTTGGTGATGCGCACAACTTACAGCAAAACTCTCTCTTAAAAATAAAGTTCACAGAAAAATCATATTATGAGAAAACTATGCATAGGTTTCAAAAATTATTTGCACCACAATAAATGTGTACTTTAATTTCACTTTTCTATGAACTTTGAAGTCCTCTTGTACCTTCCCATTGTTATGTTGCTGCTTCCAATGGCAAAGCCTTGGCTGACTCACTCCATATATTTAATTTTTACTTCTTTCATGTCTTGATTAATCTTTTTCTCCCATCTTCCTAACAGTAATTTTTCTGTCCTCAGGTTCTCTTATTTTGCCTGAATCCCCAACTTATTCTCTATTGCAAAACTAACTTGGAAGATGGTAGAGATCACGGTCTTTAGCTTCAAACTGCTCAGTGGCTCCGTACCCCTCACAGTCTTGGTTTCCTCATGTATAGCATGGGGATAATACCAGCTCGTATCTCAAACATTTCACAAAGAGGACCAGCAGATGGCATAATGCTTATGTTGCTGGACTCCCACATAGTCAACTAAGGTTCAAGTCCCAGATCCGACAGCTTAAAACTCATGCCACACGCATGTGTATGCATGCCAAAAATCCAGAGAGGAGACTGGAGAAGGGATTGTGGCGTGGCCATCCTCCCTGGGGTGGGTTGGGGGGGGTGTGAGTTCTTGTTTTCTATCTCTATGGGTCTCTCTGTCTCTCCAGCAAGCACATGTGTCCTATAAAAAAAAAAAAATCTGTCTCTGGGAAAAAGAAAGATTTCACAAAAATACCAAGATCCCCAGTATAATGTACTTACAGGGAACCTGGCATGCAGGGGCAGCTCAGCAAGTTACTGGCACCATCATTACCTAAGCCAGCGTGGCTTTGCATCCAGGACATTAGTCTCATCATTCTCCCAGCCACTGTTAACAGAGGTGCCTGTTACACCCCCATTTTTTCAATCTATAAAATACTGTGATCTGTTCTACCTACCCCATAAAGAAGAGCACTTTGATCGTGAACATGTTAACAGCTTGAACATGAGTGGACTTGGCAACAACATCAGCCTTTTACAGTCTGGGTGACCCCTTTTCCTTCTAGATGTCAGAATGACGAATAACCATATGTTACGCCCGGGACCTTTCCTTCACCAGGCTTTGAACCTGGACGCCTGTGGTCCCTTGGTGATGCCCACATCCTGTTAGTGGCATCTGTGATGGAGTGTTACAGGAATGGCAGTGTCTCCCTTTGTACTGGCTCCGTTCCCTGAGCCATTCATTCCCTCTCCTCATCTGCCGCCTCTCCAGAAGAACACCACTGTCATTCGTCATTCATACAGCACCTTTGTGATTTGAATTGAGACAGTTGCTGAGGAT